GTGTGTGTGTGTGTGCATAGATATATAGATATATATGTGTGTGTACATACACACACACACACACACACACATATATATATATATATAAATATATAAAAATATATATATATATACGTGCATATGCATATATAGCTATACATGTATATGTATATATACACATACATACATACATATATATATATATATACTATATATATATATATATATACTTCATACATATATTATTTATATACATATATATATATACATATACATATATATACCCACACATACAAACAGACACATACATACACACACACACACATATATATATATACCCACTCAAACAAACAGACACACACACATATATATATATATATATATATATATTTATATGTAAATATATTTATATATATGTATGTATATATACATACACACACATATATATATACATATAAATATTATATATATATATTTATATATATATCTGTATTTCTATATACATATATATGTTTGTGTATATTTATAAATACTGATGTGTATTTCACGCATTTATAAATACCTATACATATATATATATATATATATATATATATGTGTGTATGCTTGAACAATATGTAGGAATACTGCGTCGATAAAAATAAAATACATTGTATCCGTATATAAAATTGAAATAGATGCACATCTAGAGAGATTAACAACAACGGCACCTTAAGCTAGCTACACCCGTGGATGCCTTCTTCTCTGTAAAGACTGTCGAGCTGGTGTCGAGTCCGTCAAGTACACCGTTGTGGCTGCGGCTCAATCTGATGAATAGCTGCTCCCAGTGCAACAGATAGAATATTAGGATTAAGTCAGGGGGGGGGCGTGTATCAAAATCTTGGTCCAACTCGTTTACAGTTCACAGCTACCCTAAAAATGTGGGCCCCTGAGGACGCCATGCTGTGCGTGCGTGAGATAATAGTATAGAAACACCAAACAGAGGGCAAGAAGTTCGTTTACAAATGATTACCGTGTGCAAAACGAACCACTGATGAACACATACCCACCTCGTGCTGGTCGTTCACGTCTAGGCGTTTAAATATCTCGGGCGCTCTGTCGTACAGCGTGCTAGCGCTCACACCCCACCTACGCCAGATAAGGATATGGAACAGATAAAATAGGACAAATTTATGTGAATTTTCTGCTCTGTGTTGTACAAACCAAGTATAGAGTAAAAAAGCGTACAAGTCTTACCTTTTTGGTGTCCAATGCGTACCAAGTGTGACATTGTGTCAATTGTCGAACAATTTTCACTTTATACCGTCGTGCAATTTCATATCGGGTACCAATGGCCATGCTGACCAGAAAACAGTACGATATATGCGCATCCCATGGTGAGCATGTATCGAAATCCAAAACAATATACATGCCTCTTGCTTTGAATAAGAATCATTCGACTCCGCAGAAAACATACGTGGCTTTCAACCAGGCCTTCATCGCGACAGTAACGCAGAAATTGTAGTCTGACAGAGGGCCCATCAGTCTTTCGTAGCCTTTATAGATTCTTACTAGTAACGAGCTTTCAGGCCTAAGTACAAGATAAAGTCGAAATAGAGGTATAAAAGAATCAAATACAGCTCGACTTTAACGTTTTCCTATTGATGAATCGATTTTTTATCGTTGATTAAATTTCAGTATTGATGGCATAGCTTGACAACGCAGAGGCAAACTGACATACCTTGCCAAGGCCAGAATCGAATAGCCCAGGTTGTGCCAATCTACAACCATCTTTGAATTGCGCAGAAGACACGCTAGCTTCACACAGGCGAGCGCAGGAATAGCCGGAGGTGTCTGCGGGCGTAGACGGAAGGTGTGAGCTGAAACAAATCTTAAAGAATCCGCAGACGACCCAAGTCGAGCCACAAATACTTCATACATGCCCTTAATGATGTCTGCCAAATCATACCAGAGGAGGCATTGATCAGGGATATCAAGAATATGCGACTACGCTGAAACATACCTGCACTAGATACGCATCCGGGCGGGGTACAGTAAGCAGCCGATATAGCAGAGTGACTATCAATTGCAGCGTTTTGACCACCGCTGCAAACAGGTACACGGCACGTGGCATGCCTGTGTGCAAAGCGAGCGATAGAGTCGGTGTAAAACTTCGGTAGAACAGCCACTCGGGCTCTATCTATCCGCATGTATTCGAATTTTAGAATAATAGGGATTCAGACTTGTGGATGGGAATTCTCCACTACGAAATTACCAAATGTGCATAAAGTACCAGAAGTAATATATATATATATCTCGACGGCAAAACTGCAAATATGTGAAGGTGTGCGGTATTAATGATTGAATAGAACAAATAGCCCTGACCACAGAAGATGTCGCAGGTTTAGAAGTACACTATGTACCACAAGCCTACGCTTATCAGACATGACGGATAGTGAGAATCAATCTGAAACTATACTTGACATTTGTAAGGAGATCTGTAAGTATCTGAACTCCAAATAGGTGCAATCAGTCTCAAGATATACTTGGGCACCCATACCTGCTTTCAACTGATGAGGCGTTAGCAGTGAATGCTGCGCTATCCGCTGATTGGAAGTGATCATCTCGTGAGGAGTTGAGCCTGATATTTTGTGATAGAAAGGAGTATCAGCATAAAAATAGCATTCCAATGCGTCGCCATAACAGTCCGATGCGTCGGATAAATACTTGATGGAACTCGAGTCTGTAAGGATGGCGGGAATCCCAAACACGCACAATCTGAAACTGCCACATGCACACAGTACATGCTCTTGTGTACCTGAATAACTAACCACATCGACATCGATGCCATGTCGAGCCAGAGACGCGCAGTGAAACTGCATTCGCGGACTGCGACCAAAGTCACCCAGTACTACGATACATGCTCTCTTGTTTCCGGTACTACCCTTTGTGGTCCCTTCTGTGCACACAAACATTACGATGTATTGTTAATATGATGTACATCGTGCGGCCATTTATAACATTTTTTACATACCATTTGAGCTGCTTGTAAAAAGTATTATATCGAGAAACCATAGCTACAAACTGATATAGTGAGCGTGATTACCTTAAAGAATTTTTGATATGAACCAGAGCGTTTCTTGAAGTTTCTCTTGAATGAAAGGTACGTTTCAGGCTACTAAATGAAAGCAACAGGTAAAGTGACTAAAGCAAACCCCGGGCAACAAAAATCTTACACTGATATATATATATATATATAGAAATATGTACAAGTATATGTATGATATATATATATATATATATATATATATATATATATATATATGTATGTATATGTATATATATATATATATATATATATATATATATATATATATATATATATATATATATATATATATATATATATATAT